TTTATAGCAGCTTTTGCTCAGTTGCCAAAAATCCTGGAAGCAACCAAGACATCCTTCAGTAGGTGAATGGATAAACTGTGGCACATCCAGAAAATGGGATATTACTCAGCATTTAAAAGAAATGAGCTACCAAGTCAAGAAAAACTAGCAAATTAAATGCATATTACTACGTGAAAGATGCCTTCCAGGAAATAATATACTGCATGATCCCAACTACATGGAAAATATAATACTATGGAATAATAAAAAAAATAAATCATAAGTTGAGGGGTTAGTTTGAGAGGGATGGCAAGGTGGAGCACAGAGTTATTTTTAAGACTTTTAATTGTATGCAACTACAACGATAGATAAGTGTCATTATATCTTTGTCCCAAATTCACTGACTGTATAACACCAAGAGTGAAATCTAATGAGAGCTATAGACTGGGTAATAATGATGTCTCATTGTAATAATTAAAAGTTAACATCTACCTTTGTTGGGAGGGGGGTGTTGATTATGACAAGTCTATGCATGAGTGGGAGAGAAGGTATATGGGAAATCTCTGCACCTTCTGCTCAGTTTTGCTGTAAACCTAAACCTAGTCTATAAAATAAAGTCTATTTAAGAGAAATTAAGTCAGCTTTAGCCAAATCTGTTCTTAAGATTTTGGTTTTAGTTTATTCTTTTTTTGTATGAAACTTTGTGTGGGGATAGAAAACAAACTATTTTACAATAATTAAACTATATTTTGTTATTAATACTTTTGAATACTATTCCTGGCTGAGCACTTTAAAGGCATTGCCTAATTTAATCTTTGCAACAATCTTTTGAGGTACTTTCCTTACCCCCATTTCAAAGATGGGGAAACATTAAGGCAGAGCTGGCAGTAAAATTATCTTGATTCCAAAACCCATTTTCTTAATCATCCACAATCTAGTATCACACAGTAGTGCCCTGATACAAAGTGGAGGCAGTAGGCCTCCATAATTATAACTCCTTTTAAGCCTTGCAGTTAAAAAAAAAAAAAAGGAGACCAATTCTAAGTCAAAATGACTGACACTGGACTGGTAGTAATCTTGGCTTTTGGGGGGGGGGGAATCCCACTTAATTCATAACAGTATTTATTTAAATCCCACAACTATATATTCATTTTCTTCTGCTTTTCCTATATAGTTTTAGTAAAAGTATCATTCAGGTTTCAACCAGGAATTTTTTTTTTTTGTCTTCATAGATGAATAGTGGGTTGGGTGTATATTGTTCACCAGTAAGGAAATGGTTAAATCATGAGGGCACACTCTGGTGGATATCTCCCTATCTAAAAAAGGAAAAAAAAAAATTGTCACAGTCAGTTGCTCCGTTAGCTCAGCACTCACTAGAACAGCTGTACGCACGCACATACACACTCTCCACCATCGGCCTGCTGCTTGCCTGTGTGAGCGGGCACTGAATCTACCCCAAGTGCTGACATTTAGTACCTGAGTTAGCAGCAAAGACTCAGAGAGGGGCGAGCAGCCCCTCTGGCTTTCAGGTAGGTCCAATACCTTCATTTCTACCAAAGTTAAAAGACGGGAGCCTTCCTTTGTAAACTTCAGGGAAATACCCTACCTTCAGTGGCATGCTGGATATGGGAAGGCTGGGTGTGCAGATGAAGAGGGAATGGTGCTGAACTTGAAAACTGCAGGGCTTTCTAGTCAGACTGCTGCAAAGGCTTAATTTCTGTGGCATCAGAGCCTGTGTATTAATCTTAGTACATAAGTGACAGAAGGAAGACCTAATCCAGGTTTTATTACCAGCAGAAAGTCAAATAGTGGATCCCTCAAAGCTGACTGACCGTGCAAGATCATGTTAATTCATGCACTAGATGACTGCAGTTCTGTACAGAGGTTACCTGCTACAGAGCAATCAGGAAAACATGGGCAACACTGATCAGTCAGATTTAATGCTTCAGAGTACAGTACTTTTCTTTAAAAGGAAAAAAGAGTCAGTTCAGACACAGGAAACTATAAACCCAGACCTCACACCATTAGTCCTCTTTTGATTCTCAACTATGCCCTAGCTTCACAGCGAATAAATGAAAATCTCCCTGCTGAGGAGTGTGAGCATGGGGTTGGAAAGCTGTATAAATTTGTTGGTCCTATATTTCTGTCTTTTAAAAAGAATCTTTAATGTGTTAACTTTGAAACTTTCTTCAGTTGAAGAACGGTGTCTTCTTTTTCAAAACCTGCCTGTTTTTATTCAGCCTATTTAAAGAAAAAACACATCAGTAGATCATTTTAGGTCTAGTGTAACCTTTTAAAAAATTCTGAAAACCAAGATGTAACTAATATAGTCATATTAAAACTATGGAAAATATACAATAGTCTACTCAATGAATACATATTTAGGTTAATAAAGGAAAATTTTAAAAATGAAATATACTGCAAAATAATGGGAAAGCACTCTTGATGCTCTTGTTTATTCTTTGACTATATACAGCCATCTGGTCATGGTTTAAAATGGATAATCTAAAAATTAAATCCACAGGTACTTAAATTGTATTACAAGAAGAATTAATTCATCTTAACTGTAATAAACTTTACCACTGCGTTTAGGGCCCTGAAGTAATGGGGCAAACTAACAGCAGGGTATTAAAGGGAGAACAGGTCAGAAATCTTTAGGGACCTGAACTAAGTTATAAAAATAGGTAATATTCCTTATGTCTTGCCCAAGAAAATGTTTCTGTTTAACCTACTTAAAGGTGTTTAATTCACTGACAAGAAACCAAAATCCCTATAAAAACCTTATAATGAACCCAATGGGCTACAATGAAAACATTTTTTTTTTTTCCAAAAAATAGGCTGTTAGAAGCAAGTATTCTTCACGTATATTGACCCCCTGGGATCTGAAATCTATTAGCCCTGTATGACTCACTTATTATCCCAGTAACAGTCTTTAAAAGAGTTTAAAGGTTTTGGCTTCAGTATCCTCTCTACCCAAAAAGTGGGTAACTCTCTAACAATCTTCATATATCTTGTTGAGGATAGTCATTTATGGTTGTTGTTTACTGAACTGAGGATCAGTATTTCCGTAGTTCCTACAGATGAGGTTGTCTTAGTTGCACAGATGCCTTCTCTTATGTATGTTTGTGCAGACCATGTATAAATAAAACACTTGACTGAGTTATTTCACAAACAAAGCAAGTTGCTGAACCTACAAACCACCAAAGTCTGAAGAGGCTAGGTTTCATACCCTTAGTAATAATCCTTCTCATTCATCATTTTCTCACTTGATTTAATAACCCACAAGATGGTTATTAATATATCACACCTTGAGAAATCCCTCAAATAAAAAAAAAACATATTTCACAATTAATTATATATGATCTGCAGAAGTGCTTCAGAGCAAAACACCAACATCTCACTAGACTGACCATGGAGTCTTAATCATCTAAGGAACTTTTGCAGCAGGAATAAAAATAAGTTATAGGATCGATCATGATTGACTGAATACTTACATTATGCCAGGCACTGAACTATGTGATTTACACGTGCTATTTTATTTATTCCTCAAATAACCCAAATGAAGATTATCTCCACCTTGCTGATATGGAAACACAGAGAAAATAACTTACCCAAAATGGTTTCATAGCAACTACATTTTAGATTCCAGATTTGGACTCAGAAAATCCAATTTCAGAGTCTGCATCTTTAATGAGGGATTAAAAAATGACAAGATCAATGAGATATTTCCTGTTATTTTAGTGGAACCCACCACCAGCACCTCCATTATATTTCCAATTCTTATTAATCCTTATCCAATTCTCATTAATCTAAAAAGTTATCACTCCACGCCCCCTAGCCAGATTCTCAGATCCTACAATCTTTCCAATCATCTCCAATGTTATAAATATCACCTGCAGGTTATATGTATTAGCAGGCAATTATACACTAACAACCTTACTTGTGATAAGTTCAAGCATGCTCTTAACTATCTCACAATTAATAGTTATAGCAGGTAAAAGCCCTCTTCTAATTTATTAATCATAACACATCTAGCTATGAGATAGGTAAAACTTTATTTCACATAAGTATTTAAATATAGCCAATCTTCAGAATCCATTTTCCTAGTTACTGTTTTCTACTGTTTGAAACATATTAACAATTTACTCCTCTAAATCTTGGGATAAGTACTAATTTGTTTCTTTCAAAGTTAGTGCCTACGAACTTCACTCCGCAAACAGGAAGTGTATTTCTCATTAAGGCTAGTGACATCGAAGGTAGATAATAAAAATAAAGGGAAAAAATGTCAAACTTGCTTCATCTATTAAATACCTTGTTTTAAAATACTGTAAGACAAACACTAAGTCTTAGGTAATTCTGGCTTCTCTCTGTTTAGTATCTGCTTACAACAGAATCACTAACTGTATTGACTAAAGATCTGAAGTATCAGTGACTGACTCCTATTTCCTTAGCCAAAAAATATGAATGAGAGACAGAAAGAGAACGATGGGAGGGAGGAGAAAGGGTTGTTTAGGAAGACTCTGATTCTTTAAAACGACCCTTAAAACAGGCTGAAAAGCAACTGGGAAAACAAACAGCCTTCAACGTGACGCTAACAAGTCTAGTTATTGTACTTCCATTACTAAACCTAAGAGCGGAACAGATCATTATCAGGTAGTTTCTCCCCTGCACACTGGGTATTTCGAGATTGAGCTTTGATTCTGTAAAACAGTTACAACTTTTGTAACCCCGAAGCCCGGCTTATGCCCCCTCCAAGCAGCCAAAGGATGCTCAGGGGTGCAATTCTGAGTGGAGCTCCAAAACCACCCAGCAGGAATCTGCAGGGACCTCTCTGAGCAAGTCCCTGCAGCCAGCGGTTTCCTAGCAACGCCACTCACGCCAGCAGCAGAAGTGCAGCCTACCGGTTTAAGAGTCCCTGGGAAAGGTACTGGCAACGCCGCCGCGGGGTCTTGCCTGACGCCCCCACCGGTACTACAACCTTCCGGTATCCCGGAAGTTGGTTCTCCGTCTGACACTCTCACCTCCCGTTCCCTAGTCTTCCGCCTTGGTTGTCATCTAGTCACTTCGTACTTTTCGCCTCTTTCTTCAGAGAGCCATCCTAGAAGTCTCCTTTCCTAGCACAATAAAGACAAACTTGTAGCCACACAACCCAAAAGAATGGGTTACTGGGAAGTGTAGTTCTTTCTGCCAACAAGTGATGAATCTTTAAGGAACATGGACTACAATTCCCAGAAATCTAAGGAATCAAAGTCCGCGACTAAAACATGCCCCATCTGCTTGGGTGGTATTGAGCAATAAGGTTCTGTGCTTCTTTATTTACCTAGTTGCTTGGTTTTTGTCCAAGCTTGTGGGACAAAAATTTTTAAGCATCTTGTGAAGAAATCTAAATATAATGATTTATATTAAGTCATTTTTTCCACAATTCTTGCAGCTAAAAGATCTACCCACCACCAGAAAATATGTCACTACAGATGGTAACAGTCAGTAATAACATAGCCTTAATTCAACCAGGCTTCTCACTGATGAATTTTGATGGGCAAGTTTTCTTCTTTGGTCAAAAAGGCTGGCCCAAGAGATCCTGCCCTACTGGAGTTTTCCATTTTGATGTGAAGCATAACCAAGTCAAGCTGAAGCCTGCAGTTTTCTCTAAGGATTCCTGCTACCTTCCTCCTCTTCGATATCCAGCCCTTTGCACATTCAAAGGCAGCTTAGAGTCTGGAAAGCATCAATACATCATCCATGGAGGGAAAACACCAAACAATGAGCTTTCAGATAAAATGTATATCATGTCTGTTGTTTGCAAAAGCAACAAAAAAGTTACCTTTCGTTGCACAGAGAAAGACTTGGTAGGAGATGTTCCTGAAGCCAGATATGGTCATTCCATTGATGTGGTGTATAGTCGAGGGAAAAGTATCGGTGTTCTCTTTGGAGGACGATCATACATACCTTCTGCCCAGAGAACCACAGAAAAATGGAATAGTGTAGCTGACTGCCTGCCCCATGTTTTCTTGGTAGATTTTGAATTTGGGTGTTCTACATCCTACATTCTTCCTGAACTTCAGGATGGACTTTCTTTTCATGTCTCTATTGCCAGAAATGATACCATTTATATTTTAGGAGGACATTCTCTTGCCAATAACATCCGTCCTGCCAACCTATATAAAATAAAGGTTGATCTCCCTTTGGGTAGCCCAGCTGTGAATTGCACAGTCTTACCAGGAGGAATCTCTGTCTCCAGTGCCATCCTGACTCAGACAAACAATGATGAATTTGTTATTGTTGGTGGTTATCAGCTTGATAATCAAAAAAGAATGATCTGCAACGTTGTCTCTTTAGAAGACAACAAGATAGATATTCATGAGATGGAGACTCCAGATTGGACTCCAGATATTAAGCACAGCAAAATATGGTTTGGAGGCAATATGGGAAATGGAACTGTTTTCCTTGGCATACCAGGAGACAATAAACAGGCTGTTTCAGAAGCATTCTATTTCTACATGTTGAAATGTGTTGAAGATGATGCGAATGAAGATCAGAAAGCATTCACATGTAGTCAGACATCAACAGACGATCCAGGGGACTCCACTCCCTTTGAAGACTCAGAAGAATTTTGTTTCAGCGCAGAAGCATATAGTTTTGATGGTGATGATGAATTTGACACCTATAATGAAGATGATGAGGAAGATGAGTCTGAAACAGGTTATTGGATTACATGTTGTGCCACCTGTGATGTGGATATCAACACTTGGGTACCATTTTATTCAACTGAGCTCAACAAACCTGCCATGATTTACTGTTCTCATGGAGATGGGCACTGGGTCCATGCCCAGTGCATGGATCTGGCAGAACGCACACTCATCCATCTGTCAGAAGGAAGTAACAAGTATTACTGCAATGAACATGTAGAGATAGCAAGAGCACTACAAACTCCCAAAAGAGCCCTACCCTTAAAAAAGCCTCCCCTGAAATCTCTCCACAAAAAAGGCTCTGGAAAAATTTTTACTCCTGCCAAGAAATCCTTTCTTAGAAGGCTCTTTGATTAATTTCACAAAACCTTTCAAATTCAAGTGCACCGAATATTTCTATCACTTTTTAAAGAATAATAACAATGATAAGAATTATTTTCCTATTTTTGTTCATCAAAAAATCTGTTTTCAGTTATATTTATTGAGTACATTGAAAAAGTACTTGTAATGTAAAATTAAATAATTGAAAAGATTTCACTTAAATTTCTTTTAAATGAGATATTCTGATAGAATTTTATCCAAGCAATGAAAACAGTATCAGTAATAATAATCAAAGCAATGACAACCCTTACATATTTTCTGTTAATAAAAAAATCTTTGGAGTAGTTAAAACAAATTTAATCAGTAAAGAAGCTAATGCCCAAAGGAATAAAGCTAATTATTTGGACAACATAACAATTGATGGTTGGCAAAAATCAAACTGAGGCCCTCCCTGGTGGCGCAGCGGGCTAAAGCACAGCACTGAGAATCTAAAGTCTCTTCCTCATGAGTTCGATTCCGACCTGCCCCGGAGGTGACCACATGGCGTGGCAGACCTCTCCTGACCTGCCCGCTGCTCCCCTCAGCAGTGTACTTCGTCGATCTGCCTGTTCTGTTCCCCGCTCTGTCTGTGGTGAAGCCTCTCACCGCCCCTGAGCCTCTGGCCTGTACCCCAGTTCTGTATGCACAAATAAATAAATCTTTAAAAAAAAAAAATCAAACTGAATCACCATATCACACACGAATGCTCTTTATACATGTTTCAGCTGGCCCCTTGGCCCATGAACAGAAAAGGTTCCTTGTAAGGAACTTTTGTAAGAAACTAGGTAGGTAGGTAGGTAGGTAGGTAGGTAGGTAGGTAGGTAGGTAGGTAGGTAGGTAGGTAGGTGGACAAATAGACTACTGGCATGAAAGAATAGAAAAAAACATATGTGCCATTTGTTACATCTTATTAAGTCATCTGCCTGCAATTTTTTCAGAGGATCCTTCCTTGGTTCACAGATGCTAAACCAAAGTCAGTCACTTGAGGGGTCTCCCCGGTGGCACAAGGGGTTAATTCTTAGCACTATGAAACTGTTGGCAGCCACTGCAGCAGGAGTTCTATCCCCCACCAAGGAGGTGGCCCACATGGGGCAGCAGACCTCTGTTTTCTCACCCAAATGCTCCCCCTCACTAGTGTATTTCAGTGGATCCACCTATTCTGCTCCCCACTCTGTCTCTTGTGAATCCTTGCACCCTCCCACACCTCTGGCCTACACCCCAGCTCTTGTATATATAAATAAGTAAATCTGAAAAAAAAAAAAAAAAAGTCAGTCACATTGTAACAGGGTGGTCCCTAGGAAAAAGAGAAGTTCCAGGTTCCCTGCCCCATCTAGAAGGAGGGTGGAGCTGAGCAGAGAAAAAGGAGAAGAGAAAAGAAGAGAAGGAAACTGGATGGAGAGCCAGAAGGAGACCTGAGGAAGCCACATGGAGCAGCAAGCATGTGATGAAGAAACCGGGCTTGTTTCCTGACCCTGGACTGGTTAAGGCAGATGTGGGTGAGAGACCTGCAGGGAGGTGACTATGGCAGTGTTTATATTGATTTTGATGTTGCTCTTTTCCTCCCAGATTTGTCTGGCTATTTCTGACCCTTTTCTATGGGTCACGGCCAGAAGGTGCTTTAGGCTTGTGGTGGCTTTCAGGCCTTGCTTTGGGCCAATCCCTTTTGGGTTGACTTGCCCACGAGGGGATGGGGAACTTCAGATGTTTGATTTAGAAGTTATATTCTTTGTATTCCGTATTGTATATTCACTGTAGTAAAGTCCCTTTTCATTAAAGTTTTATATATGTTTTGTCTTGTTGCGGCGGATGGCAGAACCCACTTAGAGCAGGCAGGATTTTGGGGCTACAGGGTTTTCCCTCTCCCCCTGTCCTGGAACAGATTTGGGGTGCCCTATAACAACTTGAACTACTTCTTTGAGAAGTTTAATGAAAACTGAACTCATAGTTACTTAGCACTCTGAGAAGAATGGGAGTACACTAAGAACGTGCCTCCAAGTAAATCTAATGGAGAATAGTATTATTTTCCCAATAATAATTTTAAAATTTTCATAAAGTTAACAGTTAGATTTTAAATTTCTATTCGTGTGTCTTGTTAATATGTGGTGCTTGCTGCCAATGAAAATTATAAAATCAGTGAGCTTGTGCAGCTTAATTAGATATTTTATAGAATGAAAGTTAATAGGGCTGTTATTTTGGGGGCTTCAAGGTATTAGTTGAAAATTAGAAATCACAGAAGTAAATGCCTTCCCTCCTGGAGTATTTTTCTAGAAGAACATAGCCCCACCCCTCAACCCTTTTCCTAGACTTTGGCCTCTTATTTATCAGCCTTCACTGAGCATCTCTACCAAATTTAGGGGAAAGGTGAACTATATAAAGATTTGAAACCTTGAATCTAAGTTCTTCTGCTAACTGCTTCATGTCTCAAATAATGAAGTTAATTTGAATAAATTATTTTTGCTTTGTTTCAGTATTGTAGATCTATGAGTATTCCTTTTGAACAATTTCCTGTATCATTGTCTTGATTTTTGTTGTTTTGATACCCTACATAAAATTAATAAAATATTAAAATGTTCTCTATATTGATTCATTCCTGTTATTTTCATTCATAGTTATCCAAATAAGGGCAAAATTAATTTCCTCTGGATCATTCTTCTTTGATTTCTTTTTTTATCTGCTTGTAGAAAATGACTTAAGTTGGAGCTAAAATATTTTTCACAGAGTTCAAAAGGGTTCTTTCAAGACATAGGTACATAACCTTATATTGACTTGTTTACAGTGACTGATGGCTAAAAACTTATCACCCCATAACAGGTAGCAAATGAGACCAAGATGTGATCACCTAGGTGATTTCAATTCTGAACTTACTAGATTCTATAGAAAAACTGCAATCTCATCAGCATAGCTGCTTTGGAGTATTAGTGCGTTTCCAAAACAAGTAGTATGCTTTTCCTCACAGTATATTAAAAATAGGTCTTTTAAGTCATCTCACCAATTAGTTCATAGGTAATAAGACAATTATCTTAAATACTTTTCTAATAGAGCATTTACAAACATGCACGTGAAATACAATGTAACATTACTTACTTATTCTA